CCCCCCCAATACATCCATGTGTATAATTTTCTTCAAGTTTGACCCCCGTCCTGCATCCAAAAATGCCTACAGGTGAGCAATTAACCCGTTAAAACAAACTTTGATACTTTCTGTGCTCAGTGTAATGTAAGTATATTGAAGAAGCCTAATTTGGTCATCCATGCAGTACAGGAAGGGGTAGTCCAAAAGAAAGGACTGGCAAGGAATATGATATGTCACAATATAGATCCTGCTCCCAAATAATCATGAAATGCATCATGTGCAGAAAAATCTTAATTGCACTTACAACCATTGTTTAGTACTCTAGCTACAGCTGTGTTGAAAACATTCTCTAAGACCTATAAGCAGCTTTTGAACAAACAATGTAGCGGCCTCCATACATATAAAGGAGGCTAGCCAGAATTACTCAGTACACCAAAACTTGGTGCTACAAAATTCTAACCAAAAATCCTAATACCTTGAAACAAACCCTCTTCATGCACAGAGGACAGAGAGCACAGTCACACACAGAACTGCACCCTTGGAGCTAGTAGAGCATCTGGTTTTAGGGCGCTCTCCGGTAGAGCAGCCAAAGAATGTTACTGAGCAGCGAGTGGAAAAACACCAAGATAAGGATCAAACTTTATAAGCACCTTTAAATCCTCAGAGTTGTGATACAACCTAATACAGTTGTGAGGCTACTTTTTAAAAAGATCCCCAATATGTCAGGCTGGATCTTTGGGAAATGTGTATACAAATTATGCATGATATTTCTTTTTGATGCGGTTACAAAAGAATCCCCACAGTGCTGGAATTGAATATTTCACTCAGTTTGCATCATATAGCTTCAGTGAATTGTTGGAACATGCAGCTACAGAACATACCGACACAAAATGTAAAAATAAAAACAAATAGAAGTGGAACACCCTTTCAGGTTGATAAATCACTGCTGTCAGACTCTGACAATGCTGCAAGGTTCTGCTATTTCATCTTGTTCCAGTGTGCCACTGAGCAGAGGTGCAAACACACAAATGGTGGTAAAGTAATAAGGGAGTTAAGAAAAGAGAATCTGTTGTTTTATCATGTATTTTCTAAACACGGGGAACTAAGGGACATCAGATTTTGGAGGTGTCAGTCTTTGCCACGGCCCAAGTGTTCATGGGATGACAGGTATAAACCTCTATATTGGGCACATAATGCAGTTAGACATGATACTTACGAAAATACATCTCTTGCTAAAATCTACCATTTTAAAGCGCTTAGTAAGTCTTTGTGCAACCTCCATGTGCCCTACCCAGCAGTAAACGCACACGTCTTTCAGTGGACCGCACAGACTAGTGCACTATGAGCAGTCAGTGTGAGTTACAGGGGCGATGTCGGGTCCAGCTTATTATAATTCCCCTGAGCTGGAGAGTGAGCTCTCTACCTGGCCACAGTCCATCTCTGTCCTTCCCTCTGGGAGTCTGACCCCGCCTAAGGAGATCACAGCAGAGGTGTGGTATGAGTACTGACTCAGACCTGAACCTGGGGAAAGGTGAAACGTACTGTGTCCTAATGTGGTTACATCAGTGCTATATATAGACTGCTTGTTTCAGAAGTAGTTCTGTTATGCTGCAGTGATGTGTAAATCAAAAAGAATGTGCCGCACATACTTGGACTAAATTGGGTTGAAGGCAAGATTAATTAAGTTAAGTACAATTATTACACTCCCACAGCACAGAATGGCAGAATTGCACCTGCGGGGGTTAAATGTGTTCAGCACAAATGACTCTGTGATTACCCACATGCTGAGATTTCTGGATTTCAAAACTCAATTTTCTAGCCTGCAATGTTTGTTTTATTTATTATTTTGACTTTTTCTGCTGTTCAGAATAAAAGTAGCGCTGCAATCAACCATCCAGCTCTGTAATAACTTGACCTGTAATTGTGGCACTTCCTTTAAGCTAGTCAGTGTCATTTAAACATCAACACCTCGAATTGCAGTCCCTAGAGTCCCCCAAAAAAAACAAACTTTTTCCATAGAGCTGAGGATAAAATTGTTTATCCCCTTAGCAGTATGATGTCACTCGAGGCAATTAAATTTTGATATGTGCCGTAAGCAAGTTGACATTTTGCCCCAACGCTGGCTTAAGAGAAAAGCCTATGGAGTGTCAAAAGCCTAAAACATTGATCCTCTTGATAGCATGAATTTTCTCATAGTATGTCATGGCAGCCTGCCAATGACATATTAACACTTTTAGCCACATTAGCGGCGTGGCTCAAGGGAGGGCATTGTCAGTTGGTCAGGCCACCACTTTGGTCCAGACTAGGGCTGCACAATATGGTAAAAAAACAACAACATTAAAATCATGATGATGTTACATTTTTTAGGTCTCTACCAAACAAACAGGTTTTCTTAAATCTAGAGAACAAGATTTGTAGACCAGAACTGCACTGCGCTGTCATGTGAGTCCAGCTGCCTCGCAAAGTTTCCATCGACAACAAATTTCCCTAGAATTCCCACTAGTTTCTGAAATACTTTGACTTGGACCAAATGGTTGGAACTTTGACGTGAAGTTAATGCAAGATGAAAGGTCAAAGGCTCACATAAATTATAGGGAACGATCCTATGGCACTCGTTAATATCCTTGAATACATAATTCCACAGCAACCCAGTGGCTGCTGCCAAGTCCACAAGTCACTGTGTTTATTGAATCCCTAAAAAAGGTTCAATATTCATGAAGAGCTTTGATACTTCTCTGCTTCTCACCATCCCTCTTACACGATGCAGCTGGCTGACTGTGATCAGAGCTGCTCGCATGTGATTTTCCCCTCAGGATCAGATAGCAGATGCTCTCTCTGTTGTAGCACCATTAGTGTTAGCTTTGTTTTCTGGACCAGTGGTGGCTCACACAGTGCCATGGGAACAAGCTATCATTAGCCCTTGATGCACAGAGGTTGACCCCTATTAGGTCAGTTTGGTTTATTTGTTTGCTCTTAACAGGATCCAAGCTCCCATCCTGAAAGATTAATGGGGAGGCCATTGCCAAGCTCAGAAGGTACACACAGCTATTATAGAGGTCAATACATTTTATTGGCCTTTTTTTCCCCCTTTTCAGCCTGCATAGTTTGCCCAAAGGGAGTATACATGCCTTTCTGCTGCGTTTAAATCCATATCTCAATGATCTTTAACTCAAATTCTATAAATGTACAAGTTTTATTGACAAAGATAAACGTCATGTCGGTGTGTTGCATTCGAACACATCATAGAATACACAAGCCTAGAGTGTGTCTCTTTGCCAAAATGCTAACTCATGTTTACTAAAGTCACAGGGTCCAATGGTGAGAGTTCATATTTTCCTCTGAGCAAGGGAAAAATTGTTTCCTGTGTTTCATAAGTGCTGAATGTTGCTGTGCGCATGTGAATTGTAAACAGAAGCTGATTGTGGATTTATGTGTATAAATAAGTGAGGTTGTGTTTCCTTGTTATAGGATTGACAGTAGTGACCTGCTAGTAAAGGCAGGTAGAAACTAATGGCTGATGTTGCATTAGACACAGGTCACATTCCAGTTGTTAATGTGCTTGAACATAATGGCACCCTGCATAAAATTGCAGGTCAAAGTGTAATGCGTTGACTGACTACAGACTCAACATTCAAGCTGATTTATTTTCATTATCAGATCACAATCTTGTTCAGCCTGTTTACAATTGTTTGGAGCTGTAAAGTAAATGTTTGTTTTGTAGCCTTGCAATAAAAACAGATTTAGAATTGGACAGAACGCCTGCAGTGATTAGTGAAGCAAGGCAGGCACAAACAGCTTTGCAAAAAAGATGAAGATGAGATAAAATGTGATTTTTTTTATTTGGTTTGTTCTGTGCGTGCAATATCTATGATTTTGTGGGATTTTCTTTGAATTGTTTTATGTGAATACTTATATATAAAAGATAGACTAGATATAACAACATCAGTACAAATATAACAGTGTGATGGTTACAGTATAATGTTATTAATTTTCGCCCACCCCTGTCTCGAAGTAGTTATTTATTATGCACTGACGTGGTTGTAACCGAGGGCTTTCTGAAAGAGAGGAAAAGTCACTACTACAACTAAAACATTTGTATTATTATTATAATTATTGAAAGCGGTCATAGTAATTCAAATTGTAAGTAAAGCATACAAAAACATAAAGAATCACAAAAAGAAATTGCGCCAAGCAGCTGTATAACACGGACACAGCTCGTGTACAGAGCTGTAGCTGTACAACCTGTTGAACTTGAAGTTCTGTTTCACTTTACTTGCTTACTTTACTTCCTTCTCTATTAAGACTGTAACTTTTATATTTGCTTGGCCTTTTGATGTCACACTTCTTTTGATCCTCTCTTCTTTGGTCGCCATCAAAGCACCTCCTCCTCCATGTAACCTCGACCTTTTGTATCCTCTGCATCCCGCTCAATCAATTTGTAACATCACTGAACTTGAAGACTCCCGGACACATCTGAGGCCTTTATGAAGGCGGGGAGAGAGACTCGGGTTGTTACAGTAAATATTTAACGCTGTGCCCAGGAGTCAGCGGTAAAGTCTGTCCGTCTACTAACTCATTAACTTCTGGGGTGGGATAGCATGTATTGATAATGATGAAGGAGTCGTTGGTGATGGAGCTGCTGTTGGGACCAGTGGTGGTACCTCAGTGGTTTACGTCAAGAGCGAATGAAAAAAACTAAACAAACCCATCTCCCTCCCTCTCCTCAGGCTAATTTTGGCTGCAAACAGAGATGAGTTCTACAACAGGCCGTCCAAGCCTGCGGACTTCTGGGGGACCAACAGTGAGATCCTCAGCGGTGAGTTATTCCAGCTCACCACTCACCATTTCACTACAGCACAAATACGCATTTTTAAGAAAGTAAGTCAAGTAAATAGCAATGATCTTTATTTAAGCCCTATGATTAATAAAATAACTTTATTTGTATAGCCCTTTTTTTTTTAAAACAATGTTCACAAAGTGCTTTACATACACACAAAAAATAGTAGCAGTAAAGAATAAGATTAAGGCTGGAAGGCTCTTTTGCAAGGGAGACCTGGCCAAAATCGTAACACAAACAACAATTAACTACAGATTAAATGTTTAACTGATGAACTGAGTTTGTTTTAAATCTCGACAAATGAAATCTGTTAGACTTTAAAACATACCTATCTTTGCTCTGTGACTATGTGAAACTGCAGCAGATGTTGGCTTTTATTCAAGGCTAAATGGCTTTCAATAATCAAGGAAAAATTTGTCTCCTACACCCCAGAATCCAATTCTCCTCTACTCCGTCACAGGACATCCCCACCCGCAGTAAACTATATTTAATTGACTGATGTCTAATACACATTATAGCCACGCAGAGGAAATCAATCATCCTTTTTTTTTTGCTGAAGGAGGAAACGCAGAGATAGCCTCGTTGTTCATCCATCTCCTTCTCCCCTCTGTAATAGAGGGGTCAGGACTCCAGTAGTGGGCCCTTAATTGATGGCTGCTTTTATGCGATGTGACAGGAATAAATGGCCCTGCCTTATCTGCAGAGCTAGGGGGGGTACGGAGGCAGGGCCCTGAAGGAGACATAGCATGACGAGAAGGGAAGTAAGCTATAGCTCCCAGTGGGATCAGGCTAGCTTTCCACTCAACCCCCAGAGGAGTAAGACCGTGTGGCTCTCTTGGTCACTGTCAGTGTAAGTGGACCTGTCTTTATTGATCACCAGGAAGTGCAGCAGACTTTGAGTGCCCCACCTTTTTCCATGCTATATGAAGAAGTGGAAGGCAGAAAGAAGACAACGTTAGTGATGGATTGAGTTTATTTCATTACTGCCAAAGCTACACGAGTGTAGTCCGATCAAAGGATGTACTCCTTATACTATACTAGTCTTTAATGTCAGTGACAGTCAGTGGAGGTTACATCATTTTTTCAGTTGTGTATTTGATCAGATGTAGTTCAGTATGTTTTCTTACTGTTTTCTAGACATTTTTCTTTAAACTTGCAGATGGAGGGTCAGCATTGCCAAGGGCATTGTTGTAAGACAAACGTTGTAAAATGGATAAAGAGAGACCTGTGAGATTAAGGTCCATGTTCAGTAATGCTTTATATTTGTTTTACAGGTTTGTAAATGTTCAACAATTAGTAGCTAAAAAAAGCTAATTTAAAGGAATTATTCCTTATGTGTTTATCATTGAAATACTGGTGTTTTTCATAGGTTGGCTTGTTTGCTTGCCTGTTGACTCATTGGCAAATTTCACATTTTTGCATGTTCAGCTGACCTGCTGTGTTCGAGCTAAAGACGGCAGCTATTAATTATAGTTAATCAGTTGGAAGTCTGCCAAGTGAACACTGTCTCGATTTCCCCATAATTACTACCAAATTACATAGTTCATTTCAGGAAACATCATGAAAATTATACTTGTAAATAATTTGTTATCCAATGCACTTCTTAAGGGAGACTGACCTATGTGGAACTGACGGCCCTGAAAACATTGTGGGAAATTGCAGAAACATGGGAAATGCCTTTACTGTATGGATACTAACAGGGTTTAGTATTGTGGGAATTGTTCAGAAGTATGGAGGAGACACTGTTCCACCCTGCAGTGAAGTTAGGATCCCTTATTTTCTTTTTCAGAGTTGTTAGTTATTTTCATCAATATAATAGCACATGCGTTTTATAAACTACTTTTGTGTTAACCAGGCCTGGATCTGGAGTATGGTAAGGAAGGAGGATCATGGCTGGGGATCAGCAAGCGGGGCAAGCTGGCTGCAATCACCAACTACATGGAGGGACGTCCCAACCCTGACGCACAAGGAAGAGGTGAGCCAGCCATGAAAAGTCATGCATACAGCATGTATCTCAAGTCTCTACAGTCTCCCGTGAAGTATCTTGCATGTTGCTTACACATTACGAATCCATTTTAAGGACAACATTGCTCATGACATCTTTTGTGCTTCACATATTCATCTTTTTTTTTATTATGTGTATGTACATATTTTAACGTATTTATTATTAACAACTAGGCTGGGTTTATTGAATGCATAATGACAGAACCATTTCTATTCACCTTTGTCGTTGTGCAGGATTTCTAGTGTCTAACTACCTGATGGACAAGGATCAGGACAGCTACTCCTACCTGAAGAAGGTGTCAACAGAAAGCCACTTGTACAACGGCTTCAACCTCATCACAGCAGAATTCAAGTGAGTGAAAGGTGTGGTCAGGTGAAATCTATCTGAGCGTATGGTCCATCAGCTGATAAAGCTGAGTCAAAGATGTGTTAACAGTGTTAACACTTCCAGTAAAGTAAGTAAGAACTCTCAATGCAATATATTTCTCAACATGACATTTATTCCAGAGAGTAAGGAACAATACGTAATATATTATATGTTGAGACAAGTTCTTTATTGCACTGTGTGGGTGTCATGAAGTAC